GACCAGAGGGCAAGAGTGAGAGAGACGGAGGGATGGGGGGAGGGAGGGAGGGAGGGAGGGAGGGAAGAGAACGGGCAGATGGGAAAGAGAGCATCAGAATCTAGAATTAAAACGAGCTGTGGACATGAAGGTCATTGTACGATGAACCATTGAGGCGACGAAACGAGGAATGCTGTCTTGTTCACTTCTGAAATGATGTTTCGGTTGCCTTATTCTTATGTGTCGCAGCAAAGATGCCAAAAGACGACAGTAAGAAGGCTTCCAAGGCGCCAGCTCGATGTGTTACCATGGAGCATATGAAGAGTCGCGGCCAGCATTTCTTGGCCAACCCTCTCATCATCCAGGGGATCATAGACAAGGCAGACATCAGGGCAACAGATGTCGTGCTTGAGATTGGTCCAGGAAATGGCGCGCTGACAGCGAAGCTGCTGGAAAAGGCCAAGAAGGTGATAGCGATCGAGTTGGATACCAGGTGGGCGGCGGAGCTGCAGAAGCGATTTGGAGTGATGCACGGCAACAAGCTTGAGATCATCAACAATGATGTGCTTCGAGTCGACCTGCCCTTCTTCGACATCTGTGTCGCAAACTTGCCATATCAGATCTCTGCTCCCATCACCAACAAGCTTCTCATGCATCGCCCGCAGTTCAGATGCGCCGTGCTCATGTAAGCCCTCACTCTCCCTCTCCCTTCCCTCCCTTCTCCCAGTCACCTGGATGCATGCAGGTTTCAGCGTGAGTTTGCTCTGCGTCTTTGTGCGAAGCCAGGCGACGAGCTGTACTGCCGCCTGTCGCTCAACACGAGTCTGCTAGCAGAGGTGCAGCATCTGATCAAGGTAGGAAAGAACAACTTCAAGCCTCCTCCCAAGGTCGAGTCTTCGGTCGTCCGCATCACCCCGTGAGTTTCAAGTGTCGCCCGCTGCCTGGCTGAGCAGCATGGCAGGCGCAGCAACCCTCCTGCGATCAACTACATGGAGTGGGACGGGCTGATCAGATTGGCGTTCGGCAGGAAGAACAAGACGCTCGGAGCTACCTTCAGGCAGAAGGATGTCAGTAATCTAGTAGAGTAGAAAGGAAGAAGGGGGAAGAGGAGGGAAGAGGAGAGGAAGGGAGGAAGAATAGGATGGGTGGGGTGGGAGGAAGAAGTAGATGGAGGGTTCAGAGACGAGTCGCGGCTGAAGGTGACCTAACATGAGTGCTGTGGTGTTCAGGTGATCGACCTCTTGAAGAACAATTACAACATGCATGCTGCCATCATGAAGTCTAAGAACGCTTCTTCGGGTGACGTCACCATGGGCGATCAGTCCTCAGGGAAGGAAGAGAAGAAGTTTGATGAAGTGAAGCAGACGATCTTAGAGGTTTTTGCTTCCCTGCCCTGTTTGTTTGAGCTCACCATCTCGTTTGCAGATCCTGGAGGCCGAGAACATGTCTGAGCAACGTCCGGCAAAGTTGGATGTTGACCATTTCTTGACGTGAGCTGAGAGTCTTGGTTAGAAAAAGTAATTCTGAAAACTTGTGTGCAGATTGCTCAACGCGTTTAACGTCAAAGGATTTCATTTTGCATGATTGTTTGTTTTCTGGACAGTTTAAGCTTCAGCATGATCCAGTTGTACGTGAAAATGGGGAAGATGAAGGAATCATGAGAGTGAATGATGTATAGTTGTGATGTCTTTCGAGAGATCATGTTGAGTTTGCGATCGAATTTTGTGTAAAATACAGTTTGCTGGAATAAAGAAAGGAAGTAACCCTGAGGCGATATGCTCTTCAATTCATATCTTGAACGCAATCCTGGGACAAGTTGATGAGTTGGAAACAATGTGAATATCACCATCTTCAAACCACATCACATCACATCACATCACATCACATCACATCACATCACATCACATCACATCACATCTTTCCTACCTGCTGGAGTGCAACTCGAACATGTCATGAAGGACTCTCTGCAGGTGAGCGCGTTAGCCAGAGTCATCGTCTAAGTCATCACCTGAAGTCTTTGAGCTGATCGCTCGGATGTGAACTGAACGATGTACGACCGGAATGCTCCGGTTTTCTAGCGGGAAGCGTGAGTTGATTCACGAGGGGATGGAGGAGGAGGAGAGAGAGAGAGACACTGTGGGAGAGGGAGATGAAGGTTAGGAACAGGGGGGTAGAGGGGGGAGAGAGCGGGAAAAGGAGGAGGGGAGGAGGAGGAGAGATGGGGGGGACAAGGAGGGCAGAGCACGAGAAATGCTGCAGAGGTATAAGACGGGAATTGACCTTGTTGATGGGGCCGGAGCCTGAGGAGATGATAGAGGCACGTCTACTCGCTTCCTCTGCGGCTTGAGAGGAGGAGCAGCAGGAGAGGATCACCCACACGTTCCGATCTGCACCAGCACCTTCATCCCTCCTCGTTGCTCCCTCCTCCTCCTCCTCCTCCTCCTCCTCCTCCTCCTCTCTCACCATAAACTTCTTCCTCCACAAAGTCCCGCAGGTTCTTCTCGTCCTCCCTGCATCCTCGCGTCACACCCTCTCCTCCCCCCCCTGTCCTCAGCTCACGGGGTTGCAATCTCCGCAAAGAGAATCTCCCGCATTGGAAGCGACCACAGCGCGTGCTTGGGGCTCCTCGGATGAACACAGACGAGGTAAAGGGGGGTAATGATGAGCTGCCCTCCAGCTGCGAGGTCGAAGACGTCGATCGCTCCTCCCATGGAGTACTTGCCGCCATCGATCTTCATCAGGACCTGCCGCGATCGCAGTCAAGGCCGGGAGGAAGATGAAGGCGGGGAGAGGGGGAGGGAGAGGGAGAGGGAGAGGGAGAGAGGAAGGGACCTGGATGGCGTGAGACTGCTGGTAGACGAGCGGCTTGAGGGCCTTGGAGGAGCCGAAGGAGCGAGCAGGACGAACTTGCTTCCATCGCTCGGAAGAGGAGAAAGAGCCAGCGGAGATGATCTGATTGCACATGGTGGAGATCACGTCAAGAAGACCCGCAAAGGGTTTGGCGACCTGGCGAGGAGGGTCAACGAGGAAAGAACGGGGATGTGGAGGGGAGAGGAGGCGTCAGAAAGAGGGAGAGAAAACAAACAGGAAGAGGAGGAAGAGGACAAACGGGAGGAGCGAGTGAAGTTGGGAGGGTGGATGGATGAATCCCCAGGCAAGGAGGACAGGAGGTATGTGAGTCGAGGAGCTGATTGCATTCGAATGAAAGCAAGAAGCGGAGGGAGGGGGAGACGAGCGAGTGAGGTACCAGAGCTGCGAGAGCTTTCAAGACTCCGTCGAGGAGGCCGGGGATCGCAGCAGAGAATCTGTGGGTCTGCAAGCGACGTGAGAGGAGAAGAGGGGAGGAGGAGGGGAAGGGGAGGGGGAGGGGAAGCAGCAGGAAGAGCAGCAGCGGAAGGAGCAGGAGCAGCAGCGGAAGGAGAGGGAGCAGGAGCAGGAGCAAGCTTCAACTCACTGCTGTGATTCTGCTGTCGGGGGAAATCCGGACGAGGGCCCAGGGAACTTTCACGGGGTCGTTCCAGGCAGTCTGCCACCCAATGGCGGGCAGGCGAGCGAGGCTGCTGAAGCCGATGATGAGTCCGGGGAGGAAGCCGATCAGATTCGGCTCATCCCGCTCTTCCCATGCCTTGGAGATCTCTGCAGCAAACGCCTTGCGAGACGATCCCGTGTGAGTGGTGACCAAGGATCCTAGGAGGAACAGAGAGGGAGCAGGAGGAGCAGGAGGAGCAGAGAGGAGGAGGGGATCATGGATCACCTCGTCCATACTGAGGTATGCCAGTGCTCTTGCTCCGCTCCCTGTTGCCTTTGATATCGTATTGCACCATCCCTACTCAGAGAGTCAAGGGCGATGAAGGCTGGAAGCAGGGGGAGGAGGAGCCGCTCAGTCTGAGAGGAGGCGAGAGGAGGAACCAACGAGAGACGGAGGAGGGAGGGCGGAGGAGGAGACCTGAACGGAATGCCATACGAGACTCCCTCCTCCTCGCATCAGGCCTCTCATCAGGTCGATACCGACGTGCAAGTATGATCCTCCTCCCGCCCTCTTGGACCTTCCCGACTGCCGACGATATGGTCAGAGCAGGCAGAGGTAGAAAGATCAGAGCGACGAGGAGAAGAAGGAGGGAGGGGAGAGAGTAGAGGAGAACAGTGGGGTGGAGGGGAGCAGTTGAGGTGCCTGAAGCTCCTTGGCGGGCTGCTTGAAGAGATCAACGACTCCGCTGCTGAGCGCGTTGACGAGCCCGAGAGGATTCCCGAGCACATTGGTGGAGCCAACGACCCTCGAGATCACGAGAAGGATCTGGAGCGTTCACTCAGAGGAGGTCAGGAAGGGAGGAGGAGGAAGGGGAGAGGAGGATGGACTGGTAAAGGGATGGAGGCGGGGACGAAACAAAGGAGAAGCAGGGCGCGACGAGGACGAGGAAGGCGATTGGAGAGGGACGAGGACGAGGAAGGCGATAGGAGAGGGATAGCAGAGGAAACGAATCTGAAGGTGGACGAGCAGGAGAGGAGGGAGGAGGAGGAGGCGGAGGAGGAGGAGGAGGAGGAGGAGGCGGAGCTGGCGCCACGAGGATGCAGACCTGCTGCAGGTAGTGATCTCTGATCCTGTTGGCTATCGTCGACCCGGCTCCGAACGAGTGGCTCATTCGCAGCTCGCCAAGGTAAAAGGGCACATCCTCGACCTGCTCTCCCCGTCACGTCCCCTTTCCCCCTCCCTCCTCCCTTCACTGAGGGTTCCAACCTTGTGGAAGAAGAAGCGGGAGGAAGCCAGGAGGTGCTGGAGGGAGCGGAGGGAGGTGAAATCGAAGGTCGTCACAGCTGGGGTGTAGCTGATGTTGAGCATGAGAGGGTAGATCCGGAGGTCGTGTACGTAGATCTGAATGGCGTCGTTAACGCTCCCCTCGTCCTCCTCTTCGTCCTTCTCCTACAGCTCTCTACTCTGCTCCCTGCCATCCCCACTCCATCCCCACTCCTCCCTTTCCCTCTTCCTCCCCTTCACTGCCGCGCCCTCCCTCACCCTTTCCCTTCCCCATCCTCCTCTTTTCCTGCCCACAAGGAACTCGCCTTGCTCGAGAACAAGCTCGATATCGAACTTCCCTTGATCGCCTCCGACAGGTCTGAGTTGCCCTGCAGCTGGAGTCGAGCAGATCAGAGTGAGCGATGGCAGTCTGTGTCCTCACCAGGTTCCGGACCAGCTCCTCGTCCTGCTGGTCTTTGGTGCTTAGCAGCTCTTTAATCTAATGAAATTGTCAGAGGAGGAGAGGAGAAGAAAGGAGATGAAGAGAGGAAAACTCAAGAGGAAACACAACGAAAAGAGAACGAACTTGAGAATGAACAAGGAGAGGAGAGGAGAGGAGAGGAGAGGTGAGGAAAGGGGAGGGGAGGGGAGGAGAGGAGAGGAGAGGAGAGGAGAGGAGAGGAGAGGAGAGGAGAGCAGCAGAGGGTAGCGGAGGGTATCTGGCTCGCCTGTCGGGATGCGGAGGACAAGCTTGCTCCAACATCGTCACAGAGATGGAGGAGGTCGAGGACCAGCCCCTCGTCGAAAGCGACGTCGAGCTCGCGGCAAAACATCTCCAGCCTTCTGAAAACCTGCGAGCCCCTGTGAGACAGCTACCTCCACGAGACGACAAGGGAGGGAAGGAAAAGGTGAAGGAGGTAGGAAGGATGGAAGAAGGGCAAAGGGTGGAGCAAGAGGTAACGCAGAGATGATGACAAGAGGACTGATGGACAAGGTCTGAACATGACAGCCAAGGTAAGGTAGAGGAGCTAGGGGAGGAGGGAGGGGAAGAAAAAGATTGATGCTAATATGCAAGAAATTTTAGGGGAAGGGAGGGGAGGGAGCAAGAGACCTTGACAGTTCCTCCAAGGAAGGAGTTGCGAGAGATGGTGATCCGCATGGAGCCTTGCGAGTCGCGGGTTCTCTCCTCCAGCTCCTCCTCCTGGTCTCTCCCGGTGAAACGAACGACCACAGGGTAGCTCGCGGACTGCTCCAGGTTGTCAACCTGCACGCACTTCAAGGAGATCTGCCGGGCAAGCGTCAAGGGAGGGGTGCACGAGGGAGCCAAGAGGACCCGTATGCCTTCCTCGAACAGGGTTCGCCAGACTGAAAGTGACAATCCTTTCTTGTGCTCGGAGGCAACGTCTTCGACCTCTCCTGAGAACGCAAACCCTGACAGGCAAAGGTATAAAAGGTGGTGGTAGTGAAGGAGGATGAAGAGGAGGAGGAGGAGGAGGATAAGGATGAGGAGGAGGAGGATGAGGATGACGAGGAGGGGCAGGAGCTCTGACTTACGAGGATTGCAGCCCAGCCAGACGTAGAGGATTTCCCGAGGGCTTCGAGAATCGATCAAGGAGATCCCAACCCCCATCATCTGTTGCGCATTCAGACCCCATCCCACCCCTCCCTTCCTGTTCCCCCTCCCTTCCCCTCCCTCCCTCTCTCTCTCCCTCCCCCTCTGCTCGCTTGCACCTCCAGGCTCATCTCGAACTGCCAACGTGAAGGAAGTGCAGCTGTCTGCAGAGCACTTGGGATGGTCTTGTGGGCGGCGGAGAGGTACTGCATGTCGGTCTTGAGCGAGACCTGCGAGTCGGAGGGGTGGAGCAAGGCATCTGTGACTGACAGCGTGAGGGTGGGGCCATGGCAGCGGACGAACACGCGGTAGAGGACGTCTCCTCGGCTGTTGAGCATGGGCTTGTGCTCCCCGATGCTGTCGAGCTCGAATCGACCTGAGAGGAGGGGAGAGGACCCCTCCACCTCCACCACCAGCAGCTGCTTCGACGACATGGCAGACTCCCACGTGTAAGGAACGCCTTGGTAGGGGCGGATGTAGACCAGTCGCCTCCCTACCCCCTCCTGGTAGACCCTCAGGGTGGAGGCAGAGAAGTTCTCGATCCAGTAGGGCGGCTGGTTCGTCTGGCTGGGCTTGACAATGATCGCCATGCTCCCGAGGAAGCGCCGAACACGGACGTCAGCGTAGACGGGGCCCGGGCTCTCCTCCGACTCCATCATGATCACGGTGTCTCCCACCTGCACCTTCCGGTCACTTGCTGATCAGGAGCGATGGAAAAGACTGCTAGAGGCAGGAGGAGGAATGAGGAGGAAGGAGAGGGAACTTGGGCAAGGAGACAAGAATAGGGAGGTGAAAGGAGAGACGTACGAGGAGGGAGGAGGGAGGAAGGAAGAGGGCTAGATGAGGGAGGAGGGAGGAGGGAGGAGGGAGGAGGGAGGAGGGAGGAGGGAGGAGGGAGGAGGGAGGAGGGAGGAGGGAGGAGGGAAATTTACCTCGTCTATGCTGAAGGCTCCACTCCAACGATCGTGCCATGACGCTCTCGATGACTTCTCAGGCTCCAACGCCAGTCGCACGTTGTGCCGCTTCCTGGGGTCAGTCCAGTGCCACACGACGCAGTTATGAGAGGGCCCGCAAGGGATGGTGAGGGAGCTGGCAGTTCCTTCCTGGCGGGCCTGGAGGGGAAAGTTGGTCTCATTCACGATCACATAGCGGGGGGTTATAGTGATGCACTTGCTCCTATGGAACTTCCCCCGCACGGGTTGAATTGCTACCCCGACCTCCATCCTCCTGCTCTGCCGCGCGAACCCTGACCGCTTCAGCCGCAGCTCGACCTTGCCCGTGTCCATGGTGGACGATCCCGTCATGGTGAAGGGATCCGACCAGTCAGTGCAATCCAACCGCATCCTGAGCCCCACGCGACCTCCGGCGTTCATCTCAGAGCAGGAGAAGAGCTGAAGGTTGGGGAGGGCTCCTCCATCGACACGCCCCGGCACCATCCATTCTGCGCTCTCCTCCCTCTCCATCTCTGCGAGCCACGCGAGACCCTGAGGGATTGCCGAACTCAGCTTACTCGACTGCCTCCCCTCTCCCTCCCCTCGCTCTCCGCTCTTCATCACAAGGTTGGGGATGGGCAGCAGCAAGTCTTGGGTTCCAGCCTCTTCCTCGCGCTTGCCCGAGCGGAGCTGCAGCAGGGAAGGGTCTTCCACGTGCTGGAGGGGGAAACCATCCAGGATGACCGGCGGGCGCATCAGCTCCTCCGCGTCGTCCTGAGTGATCTGAGCCCGCGAGTTTGTGCGGTTGACAATCCAGTAGGCCGAGTAGACGAGAACACAGCAGGTGCCTGCAGCATCCAGCATGATGTCAGCTTCGAGGTCGAGAGCCCTCCCCTGCTCCCCAGTGCTGCTCAGCCTCTGCTTCCTCTTCTGCGACAAGACCCAGGCTTGTGTGCTCCACCCGTCCAGCACCGACAGCTCGTCCGAGTCGCCGCTCTCACGGAGGAGGAGGTGAGAGCTCCAGCCTAGCTC